TTTTTTTTTTTTTAAGGAATAACTAGATCATTTAACATACCTCATTTAAGTACTTCCCTGCGAAAAAGGTCTGATAACCACACACTGATCTGAGAATTGCTGGGAAAGTATTTGGTTCTTGGATCTTCTGCCAAGACTTACTACTGCAGTTTCCCTCTAAAGTGTTGTTAACAACGTGATGATTATGTGGATACTTCCCCGTCAAGATACTGGCTCTGCTTGGGCAGCAAAGAGCACTTGGCACATACTACAAAGGGAACAGAAGCAAAAAACCCAGTTACACAAGAAAGATGGATTTCTTAGCATTTCTAAACAGGATAAAGAAAGCTGTTCAATACTCTAACTTTGAATTTCTAGTTTCCCATGGAATAGAGGTTTTTTTGTTTTTGTTTTTTTAAACACATGACACACTTCAGAGCTGCTTTAAGTCACATAATGGAGACAATAAATCAGATAAAACAAACCAAGAGAACAGATTTCTTTTGCAGTTGGATTCTTGCTGCAGAATAACAGTGATTCTAATCTCATCTGCCAAAGAAATATTTACAAGGTAGGCACCGGGTCTTAACGAAGATAAAGAGTATCACTTGAACCTAATGTAGCTGAGAGGCACAGGTTCAGTTTTCAGGATAATCTGTAGTTTTATACATTTCCTGTGTCACTTAAGACACTGGACATAGTTTTTCTGCTCTAATTGTATTTCTGTTAGCACCTATCATCAATACATTTAGCCCATTCTACCCGATATTTGTATAGGTCTTAGTACACATCACCAAGCCACTTTACAGAGAGTAATACTAGCCTATACTCGCACCAGCAGGGAAGGAATGCTCATTCAAGCACACCCTTGCCAAAATTACATATTATCTCTTTTAAATACTCAGCATTTCTTTGGCCTTTCAAATTGGATTTGGCATTTTTAAGTACTGGTGAGGATGAACATTCTCCACATGCATACTGACCAATTATGTTTACGTGAATGATTTGTTCACGAGCTTTGCACATTTTTTTCCTCCTGGGGCATGAGCTTCTTGTTACATAAAATTTGAGTTGAGGAAGGATTCAGTCACATTACAAATACATACTTGCCATTTTTTACTTTTGCCTTTTAATTTTGTTAGATATTTGACTTCTGTAATCTTTACATTGGCAACCCTTGGATTCCTTTCCCATTTTTGTTTGCTGACCTATTTTTTGGCCAATGTCACACTGTTTACTGTATCTTCATATTTCATTTTATTATCTGGAAGAGCAATTTCTTCCTTTAAGAAATTATCTTGATTGTTCTAACCTACTTATACTTCCAGATAAATCTGAAATCCCTTTATTCAGCCTAAAAAAAATCTTGTTGGGATTCTGATCAGAATAAATTAATCTTGTGTCTTCCCACAGAAAATGATGGGTGTATCTACATATTAAAGATTTTTATTATACCACTCATGAAGTTCTGTACCTTTATTTATACAGGTCTTAACTATTACTGGCCACCAACAGCTATTCCTAGAGTCTGCTATATGAATGGGATCTTTTCTCTCTCCTCCCCAGTACTTCTCTAACTGGTTATACAGAAGAAAGTTATTTTTGTTTTTTCATTTCTATTTTACCAAACTCAATTAACTTAAAAAGTTTTCCAACAGTTCCGTGTTTTCTAGGTAAAAAATCCAAAGAAGTGGAAATAATAATTTTGTCTTTTCCAGTCTTCCAACTAATTCCACAAGATACCAATGACCAGACAGTTCAGAAAAGCATTCAGTGACAAGTATTATGCCCTTGTCTCGTTCCTAACAGCAATGCTCTGAGTCTTTCACCTCAGCTGTAAGGTGTGGTATGCTATTTGTTTGAAATACTCATCACAGTAAGGATGCACTTTTATCAGCATAATAAACTACCAGGAAAGGATGCTAAATTTCGGAGGACTCTCAAGCATCTATTAACATGAACATCACATTTTTCATTTTTCAACTACTGATCTTGTTGGACAGTATAATAACCACCATTATGTAGTACTAGGAGTCAAGTGCTTGTGTTACATGTACCAATTAATTTAACATCACAAAGACCTTGACATAGGATTTAGTACTCCCATTTACAAGTGGGGAGACCAAGGGCCAGAAACCTGCCCAAGGTCACACAGGTAGAAAAGAGGTAGAGATGGCATTCAAACTAGGTGATCCAGCTCCAGGCTCTGTGCTCTTAAGCACAACACTGTGCTGGTGTTTAATGGATTTCCTGCTAAGCTAGACTACTACTTACTGGGTTATGTGCATGGTTCCTGAATTTTGTTAGTATTTTATTACGGATTTTTACATCCGTCTTTATACACACGTATATATTTGTACCTCACGTACACACATACGTGAATATACATACACACACAGATGTCAGTTTTGTTTGGTTGCTATTATCTTTCTCAGATTTGACTATCAGGGTTAACTGGACTTTTGTAACATGGCCTGCAAGCATTTACCACAAGGCAATTCACATAGCATGAATGTTACATGACTCCTAACATCCATTTTCGAACCTCCAACAATGACGTTTTGAAACAAAATTCTCTAGTTCTGAGCTATAGAGCAAACTGGCTCAGACAATATCTACAATTAACGTTCAATTAGTAAAAAGTGATGCTTCAATTAAAAGAACTTAAATCACATTAAATAAGGTTCTTCCTTTAAATCAGGCATCTAAGTAGGAAAAAAACCACATAGATTACACTAGATTACCCGAAAGAGAGGGTTTCCTCCTAGAACATGAACAGGAAGTCTCACAAAATTAAATTCAAAACTTACAGCACTGGAGAAGGTCATCCCCATTTCTCCAATGAGAGCCTTGGTTTTTTTTAGTGGTGTCTGCAAAGTAAATAATTATCTGTTAAACCATCTCCTCCAATAAACGAAAACACACAGACCAAAACTCATGGTTTTTGCATCTTACTCGCAATTATCAGCTCCATCAGACACTAAGAAACCACCAAGAGTCCTGTGTGATTCTTGAGATGAACCAAACAGGTTTGGTTACAGTCAGTTATGTCCCGTGCAAAAGTTCAGAGGGGTCATAATGCTTGCAGGAAGGGAACGTTCACAGCTGACAGCATTATTCCAGCAATGCTGATTTCAATGTGATGAAATTTTGGTGCTGTCATTCGTCACCAGCCCCCTTACAAGATAGATAGGGCAGATCTCCATTAATTCATCTTTAGAAGCAGGCTGTGGGATAGGATATGAAAGGAGCCTTCCACCCTTTAAAACAGAAATAACAGATTCTCAAGGCCAGATAAAGCCCTGACGCCCAGAAGAGGACTCAAATATCACACATTCAGTAGTGGAGCCTAAATCATGCTTTTCAGATATAAGCTCAGAACCCTGTGCACTAGACCAATCACCACCTCAGGTAAGGACTTGAACTAGGTGGCAAATAGTAGAACAATTAATCTCAAATCCTAGAGTGAGGATAAAAGTATGAAGGTCACTTAAATACAAATAAAAGGAACACTAACAATATTCAGATTCCAGACAAAAAGAGGCTCAGTTTAGTTGTATTATATGAATCAGCTCACAGTGTTATTGAAGTACTTTTTAAATACGCGACCATATTCCGTGCAGTTCAAGTATATCTTATTGTGCAATAATTCCTTAAAAATAAATATATGTTAACAAGGGTCTTGTTTACAATACTATATAAATCACTCTCTCCCACTGATTTCTATAGATAGTAAAAGATATAAGGGACCCATAAACTCGAAAGGATGAGAATTCTAACTTATTCAAGAAGACCTTTCATAATTTCATGAGTAGATCCATAATAGGTTCCCAGGAAATGCTACAAATATACAAGGTCTTCGCTAACCTTCAGAGGCAATGTCACTGGCTATGATCTCCCACAAAACATCACTGGGTGGTTATCTTTAGGTAAAGAATACTGGGCTGACTGAAACCCTGGTGTGATGAAAAATCTGAGTTATGACGACACAGGGAGGGGAAATGAGAATACAAAGTGTAAGTGGGGAAAAGGACTACGTGAGTTGATTATATGGGACTTAATCCTCAAACTGGTCAACACACAAAGCTCCTGAAGAGTATCTGATTTATAGTAAGACTATACTGTGTGATTTTTTTGTTTTTGAGAGAGAGTGCGTGTGGTGGAGGGGCAGAGGTAGAGAGAGAATCCCAAGCAGGCTCCATGCCCAGCACAGAGCCCGACGCAGGGCTCAACCTCACATTCCTAAGATCATAACCTGAGCTGAAATTGAACCAGATGCTTAGCCAACTGAGCCACCCACATGCCCCTACACTGTGTGATTATAGCCTACTTATTCAACACTTAATAATTCATCAGTGTGTCAGGCACTGATCTAGGCAATGATGGATCAAAGACAGAAGGTCCTTGCCCTCATGACCTTTGTATTCTTGGAGACTTAAACTAACAGGTAAATAATCATTTCAGGCAGTGAAAAGCACTACAAGCAGAGTAAACCAGGATGATGTGCTTACAGCTGGTGGGAGGAAAGGGGGAAACTACTTTAGATGGGTGGTCAGGAGAAGCCTCTCTCAGCAGGTAACTTTGGTGCTTAGCATCACATGACAAGGAGGTCAGCCAGGCAAAGATCCAGGAGAAGGTGTTTTCAGGCTGAGTGAATAGGAAGTACGAGGGCTGCCAGAAAAGGAAAGAGGCACATGTGAGGAATAGAAAGAAGGCGAATATGGCAGAAGTAGCACAGCAAGTAAAGGAGACTGTGGTGTTAGACAAGGTCAAAGCATCAGGCAGGAGCCAGCAGATGATGCAAGGCTGCACAGGAACACAGATTCTATTGGAAGACATTTACATTAAGGACCATAATTTTTATACTGTTAACACCAGTGTGGTGATAACCATCATCTATGCTTCATCAAACAAATCCTTTTATTTTTTTTAAAGTTCACTTATTTATTTTTGAAAGAGACAGTGTAAGCAGGGGAGGAGCAGAGAGACTGAGAGAGAATCCCAAGCAGGCTCTGCACGGTCACCACAGAGCCCCATGCCGGGCTCAAACTCACAAACTGTGAGATCACGACCTGAGCTGAAATCAAGAGTTGGACGCTTAACCGACTAAGCCACCCAGATGCCCCAAATAAATCCTAGATAAGAAACCCCACTGTATTGAAGATGTGTGTCCATGCTAATCTGAATACTAAAATGGAGCCTTAAGATGTAAGAAAAGACAGCTGCAAGGCTGGTCAGGTAAAGGATGTACAGTACTGTTTAAGTAGCAGCCAATCTTATACCTGAATATAGGTAGATGTGTTATACTTTAACTCATCCAAAGCAAACCCCTTCCATAAAAATCCTAAGGAGTCATTTACTTTCTTGGTTCCTGTGTGTAACTGCTCTGAACTAAAGTTTTAACAATTCTAAGAAAAATCTATGGCTAATTTTTCTTTTAACAACCACTTTTTTTAAAAAAAAATTTTTTTTTCAACGTTTATTTATTTTTGGGACAGAGAGAGACAGAGCATGAACGGGGGAGGGGCAGAGAGAGAGGGAGACACAGAATCAGAAACAGGCTCCAGGCTCTGAGCCATCAGCCCAGAGCCCGACGCGGGGCTCGAACTCACGGACCGCGAGATCGTGACCTGGCCGAAGTCGGACACTTAACCGACTGCGCCACCCAGGCGCCCCAACAACCACTTTTAAAGACCTCTTTCGTTTAAATAAAGCAAACACGTGATGCCATCTTCTCCTACATTTCATCATGAGTCCTTCCCTCGTTTCCTTGAAATTCCGACCAAGTGTCACTTTTTCCAGAGCGAATGATTTTACAAAAGAGCAACCTGTGCCTCTGTGAAGCACACTGGGTCCATCACACCATAACAACATTCAAGCAAAATCAAGAAATAGGAACTGTTCCCAAAGCAAAAGCCCCAAAGTCCTGCAGATGACACCTGTAAACAAATACAGTGAAATGTGAAAGATGGTGCAGAAAAGGCTATTTCAAAGATGACTAAAAGATTCTACATGAAACAACAATCACACAAATGCTATATAATCCTTTGACCTGAGCTAGTCTGGTGGACTAGCTGTTTATTTTGCCAACTGTGGCCGCAATTCACAATCTTTTTTGAGTCAGAGACTTCACTGTCTCCATAAAAGATAATACACAGACTTTTACGTGTAAATTAAGGATTTCTGTGACCCCACCGGTGCCCCTCAGTATCATCTAAAGAATCTCTGATCTGTGGTAGAAGTGTCTATGCTGATGTGGACACGTGGAATGGCATCTGGTAAGTCACTATTACCACACTGTTCTAGAATAGGAAAAAAACGGGGCTCTGAGATCGTAAGACACCAGATTTTGCCCCTTATTAGCTATGTGAACTTTGGCCAAGTTACTTAACCCCCTCTCAGTATTAGTCTCCTCTTATTTAAGGAAAGGATAATACCTACAGCAGAGGACTCCTGTAATGACTGAAGCACAAGTTTAATACTTCACACTCTTAACTGGCTCCAGGAGGTTTTCAAACAGTTATTGTCTTAGTGCTTTCCCTTCAAGTCCTCTTTAACAACTAGTGGTAGAATATTCTGAAAAAGGCTAAAAGAGAAGCCAGAATACTCCAGAGAGTTGGAAGCATTAAATTTGACTTGTGCCCTCCACTCCATTTTGGCTCGTCTCTCTAGTACAAACGCCTATAAAAAAGAATCTGCTACTGGTTTAGAGAAGCAAACACAACACGCTAGGGAAAAAAGAACTCAAATATATACAGACCACATCTGTGGTCCCTAAGAACTAAGACAATTCTGAACTCCTTACATTTTAGTGATAAAGTTTTGTTTTCACCAGAGATATGAAAGCTTGACCTTTTAATTGTTTTAGTCACTATGCTATTACTAATTTTTTATAGAGATGGCTTGCTTTTTCTAGACAAAACATTAAAAAAAAATTTTTTTTTAATGTTTACTTACTTAGAGAGAGCGTGCACGCTCAAGAGTGTGCACAAGAAGGGCAGAGAGAGAGGGAGAAAGAGAATCCAAAGCAGGCTTGGTAATGATAGTGCAGAGCCCAATGTTGGGGCTGGATCTCAGGAAACGTGACATCATGACCTGACCCAAAATCAAGACTTGGACGCTTAACCAACGGAGCCACCCAGGTGCCCCCTAGACAAAATACCTCAAGGGAATTTTGTGAGAAGGGTAAGAGCAGTGGTTGAAATGGAAAGAACAAAGTAAATTCCAGGAGAGCATTTAAGTCAAGACTCTTCAATGTCAATGCGGCTGAGTGGAAACCAAAAGGCAACGAGGCATATGTGGCAGGAAGAAGCATGGAGTCAAAATGCAAGCATCTTAAACATCAACTAGAAAAGAGTCTCATAGCTGTGGACACAGCCCCTGAGTAAGAAATAACATCTTAATCCATAACCCTTTAATATACATATAGATTGTATACTTTGCCCCATGTGCCACACCAACATTTTCTATTCTACTTTATTCCACAGGAAAGTAAAAATGCTGTTAGCTACTCACTAAACTGATTTCACAACTCACTCATGGGTTGCAGTCAGCTGCAGGACAGTGAGGTAGGGAATTCTCACACAGTGTAAATTAGGAACCTCTTGCCTGAAGTGTTTTCATAGTCTCAACATTAAGCTGAAAGCAACAAGAGAACTGAAAGGAAGAAAAAAATAAAGCAGACCTTTAAAAAAAAAAAAAAAGCCATACCCAGGATCAGAGCACTGAGGGTTTCAACTACTTAAGCGCCTTGGGAAAGCCACTCTCTGGGGCCTCCATGACTAGGGGGCTGGCTGAGTGCTCCTGAAGGTCGTAAATTCCAGATCTCTAAGATACAGAAGCAAAATGAACTCCGGGCAAGAACGAAGTCTCATGACAAAACATTTAAAATGGAACACGGACAGCAGTAGCCAATGCAGCAGCCAGGTGTTCAATCAGGCTAATTGAATTTTCTTGATTGTTGCGAGGCAAAAGGCTCCCTGAGTAGTTGACAACCTACCTACCGGATTAGTTCATCTCGGCATTGATTTTACAAATAAATATCAGGCACAGACATTGTACACAGGGACAAATTCAGAGGTGGCCTAGGTCCTTCACAGAGGAAGGACCTAGGGCTGGACTTGACCTCTGATCCTTCGAACCAAAAGAAGAGCAATAAAAGTTTGCGTGCTTTTAGCCAGCACCTGCTCCTCGGTGGCTCAGCCCATCCCTAACTGGCGTCCACATGTTCATTTTGAGCTGTAAACGCGAGCTCCGCAGCACTAAGGTCCAGACTAGAAGCTCCGTATGGTGCGTGCAGGTGTCTACTCAAACAGACGCGAGACAGAGACGCGGGAGAAAGAGGAAATAGAGTCCTGCAAACCCTGAACTTCCGTAAGGGGTCCGGCGCGGCAAAAGCGAACCTCTCCCGGGGGGAAAAGCTGCCAGCTGAGGGAATTGGGGTGGGGACGGCGAAAGAGGGCAAGGAAACTGGGGGTCAGCCCGGGAGATGGAGGGGCGGGGCAGAAATAGAAGAGTTACCATGCCGCCGAGCACTTCGTCCTGGTCGTCGGTGAGGAGCAGCACCACATTGGGCCTCCGAGAACCCGCCGCCACCCCAGAGACCCCCAGGCAGCTGCCCAGCAGCAGCAGCAGCGCTGGGCTGCAGGAAGGCAGGTGACGGGGGTTGTCCCGCCGGGGCCCAGTTGGGGCCAGAGGCAGGAGCCACATGGCGGACACAGCGCCGGGGCGGCCCCGGGACCGAGTGGAGGGAGGCGCAGGTGTCTGAAAAGCTAGAGGAGAAGGACCTGCAGGAAGAAAGGGATTGCACGGGAAAGGCCCCGGGGCTGGGGTCAGGCGTTTTCTCCCCTAGCACGATCACGTGAGCCGGGGACTGGAGGCGGAGCACACCGAGCAATCACGTGAAGAGCGATAGGGTCGGACTGCGGGCGGAAGGGGAGGGAGGACGGACCACCCGGCCGGAAACCGGAAGTGGGCGAAAAAAAGGTCCGAGAGCCGGACCTGGACTTGCTTCATTCTCAGGCTGAGGTTGGGTTCTCGGGGGACGTGAAGCTTAATGGTTGGTGTAAAGTTTAAAATGGAGAGAAGATAAGATGGAATGGAGGAGAGAATCAGCTCACAGTAAGCGATTAAGAGAAGGGAGAAATGTACCTACCGCATAGTAAGATCAGCTGGTGGGCGAAGTCGGCTCTGTCATATTTAATCTCCGAGTCCACACTCACTGATGGCCTTACAGTTAATCATTTCTAATTTTCTCTACCACCCACCTACTAAATTTGGAGCTGGATACCAGATTAGCATTCTTAATTTCAAGCCTCGGCTGATAACATAATTTCAAACAAGCAAACGATTTAGAGATATCCTGACAGCCTGATGTTCCTTGGTGAATTTTTTAATATTTACCCTAATAGTCTTCGGTGAATTTTTGAAAGCCGTCTTAGAGGTTGTTGGAGGATATGCATATTGAACAAAAACAAAACCCCTGAAACAGTCACCCAACCACATTAAATAATGTTTGGGGGAACAAATTCCATGAAACTAGGACTATAAATATTTCTGTGGTAGCTCTAGAACAGCTTTATCTCAACTCTCTGTTGAAGTCCATAAAAACAGAATTATCCCTGGCAGGGTGAAGGGTCAAGGCTTATTTCCAATTCAGAACAACAACTAGTACCTCCTGGCTCCTAACAAAGTGTATTTTCTCTAAGTACTATCCTATTGTGAGGTAAAAATAATTGTGGAAATACATCGAAATGTCACATGTACAACTATAAGATTTATGCAAAAGGAAGTGTTGCCTTTTTTTTTTTTTTTAAATAGATTTACAGAAGGCAAGAGAATCTTTACAAAGTGAAGTAAAGTTCCACTGCAAGAAAAATTATGCTGGGAATCTGGTCAGAGTAGTTCCCAGATGGCCATGGTACTGGGTAACAGCCTCAAGCTGGGCTCATTTTGCAAGCTGGTGGAATAACTCCTAGGAAATCAAAGACTTCCAGGAAGACTTCTGGCACAAAAAAAGAACCTGCTTCCATGCCCCAAATTGTAAGATTATATCACTGTTCTTATTTCAAGGCTAGATTATAAAGTATGATGGTAGAGACTTTACAATTAGGTGCCAACTTTATTCCAAATGCTAGGCATCTGGAACTTGCAATCTAGTTGCAGAGAGATATACAATCTAATAATCACAGAAGTGTATGATTACAAATAAGGAGACGTTTTGTGAAGGAAAAGTAAAAAGTGCAATGAGCATTTAAGGAGGTGGGGGGCTGACCGAATTTATGATAGGCTAAGGAAGTAAACTTCCAGTGTCCATGTGAAGTTTAAATAGGAGATGACTTGTTAATGGAATGGTTCGGTGGTAGAATGTCTCCTAGGCACAGTACAGTATGTGCAAAGGTCCTGAGGTGGTGCATTCAAAGAACTAAAAGATGCCAGTATAGTTGGAGCAGAGGGAGAGAAGGAGAGGGAGAGGTAGACAGGACCCAGATCCTATGTTAAGGATTTTGGTCTTCATCTAAAGCTAATGGGAAATCACTGGAAGAATAGGGGAGAAAAAATATGTGAATTTTAGAAGATCCTTTATGCTGTGGCATGGTGTACAGATTAGAAGAGGACAAGAATGGATAAAGGTCAATTAGGTGGAGAGATGATGATAACAGGAACAAATCAGATTTTGTGGGGCATGAAGCTTATATGTATACAAGTTGGCAAGGGTGGCTCCTTAAAAAGAATAATAGTTACAAATACAAAATTAGGTACAAAGTGAATATTTTTTTAGGCTAAGAAAGAAATACCAGTATTATCAATTTTTAAAAGTTGAGAAGTATTGCAAATTACAAATGCAAAATTTTAAAACAGTATTTTTTATTAAATTTTTTTGATGTTTATTTATTTTTGAGAGAGAGGGAGACACGGACACTCAGAATCCGAAGCAGGCTCCAGGCTCTGAGCTGTCAGCACAGAGCCTGATGCAGGGCTCACACTCACAATAAAAAATATTTTTATTAGTGAACTACCAGATACATCTCTCTATGTTTTTTTCCCCTACATTTTATGGCTATGTACCCTTCAATCATCTTTTATATGATGGTGGCTTTGTAATATTCTATAGAGAGAATAGGAAGATAATTTAGTCTTTTCTCTGGTATAGTTGATCAGTATTTGATTTTTATTACTGATAGTTCAGAAGAATTTTTTTTCATCCTCACAGTTCATTGTTGGTTATACACACACATACACGCTCACACACACTTATTGTAATCATGTATTACGAGTTTATGTTGTCTTCATTTATGTCAACTTGAGGTCAAATCAGAAATTTAAATATTTTTAATGAGCTTATATGGTTTTCTTCACAAATTGATTATCAAAAAAGTTCAGGGGCCTGTTTATTACTTTCATTTGCAATTTATCTCTTCATTTTAGACAATTACTGTCTTTGTTATCTGAAAAAAATTATTACTATTTACTTCTCAATGTCAAGATAATTTCTTTTGATTTTCTCACTCATCTTTACCACTTTAATTTCATATTTATTAATTTTTTTACCCTCAATTTTCTTTAAAATTTTTTTTTTCAACGTTTATTTATTTTTGGGACAGAGAGAGACAGAGCGTGAACGGGGGAGGGGCAGAGAGAGAGGGAGACACAGAATCGGAAACAGGCTCCAGGCTCCGAGCCATCAGCCCAGAGCCTGACGCGGGGCTCGAACTCACGGACCGCGAGATCGTGACCTGGCTGAAGTCGGACGCCCAACCGACTGCGCCACCCAGGCGCCCCTACCCTCAATTTTCTATCAGTACTTTAGTAAAATAAATTTACGAATGACCTGAGAAGGTGCCCACTATATACATCCACATCAGGAGTTTGAAATTTATCACATCTCTAATTGAAATGTTCCAAAGTGTCTTTCTAAATTGTAGTTAAAAATGTTATATTTGGGTTTTATCAACTGTTGAATAAGTTCTTACATCTCATTTGTGTTTTGGGTTGTCTTTTGAGTCATTGAAAATATATTTTAGAGTCCTTAAATTTTCTTTGAGCCTGTGTTGCAAGGCTTGAACACTTTTATAATGGGCAGACCATTTCATTATAGTTAGATGCTTTAAGGAAAAATCCAACTTGGCATATATGTTTAAAAGATCAAGAAAAAAAGATTCCATATAGTAGTCGAACCTGAAAATAAGATACACAACAGTCTCAGATTCTTGAAGTAGTTAACCTCAGATGCTTTGAGGGCAGCCTTGCCTCTAACAAAATCAAGGTAATGATTTGTGCATGGCTCATGTGCTGCAGTGGTTTTTAAAGAGCACGCAGCCCTTTGTTCCAATCATCGTAATAGCTGTGCTGACATGTGACTGTAAATGCCCAACTGCAGGTTGAAATGGCTCAAATCGTTTTTCACCTTGTTGAATAAAGTCAGATAAATGTTTTCGGTTGGGTGAAAAAGTTAAAAATTGCTAATAGGAGTTCCTATTAGAGGAGTAATCCACAATAATTAACAACTGATCAGTTTGTCACATCCAGAATAGAATGTATAATGTTATTATTTGGTGTCTGGTTATATATTTGACTTACCACTCTTTAAGACATTTCCCCATCATTTAAATTAATTTGTCATAAATTGTCTTGGTAAAATAAGTCACTTTTTATTTATTTTTTAATGTTTATTTTTGAAAGAGAGAGAGAGATGCACAGAATGTGAGCGGGGGAGGAACAGAGAGAGAGGAGACACAGAATCCGAAGCAGGCTTCAGGCTCTGAGCTGTCAGCACGGAGCCCGATGCGGAGCTTGAACTCACAGACCGTGAGATCATGACCTGAGCTGAAGTCAGACGCTTAACCGACTGAGCCACCAAGGTGCCCCAATAAGTCACTTTTTAAAATGTTATCATTTTTTCCTAGACCTTAAGCAAAAATGGATTAAACCCAGCTATTACTTGAAAAGTTCGCATGAAACTTCCATTATGACAACACTACTTTTTATCTTGGCCTTTGAAGTAAAAATATCTTTCACTTACATATTTGACAACCTTAAGATCTCCATCTCGGACCGTGATGGAGTAATAGGGCTGGACTAACCTTCTTGCTATAAACAACCAGAAAACAGGACAAGATGTATATTTTTGCACAACGGACAACTGGCAGTGCAGGACTCTGATCCCTGTGTGAAAAGGAATCAATTGACCGCTTTCAACTTGGAGGCACATTCTGAACCCGGGAGCCAGAGAGAGCGTTCCATGTAGAAAGAAGATGAGTTGAGGGGACAGAGATGAAGTTTGGGGGAGGATGAGGTACTTGGAAGTTGTGGGGCAGAGTTCCAAAGAGAAGGAAAAGCTCCATCAATCTGCACAGATACCCTTTTGAGGTTTTGTTGGACACTAAGATGTGAATGTGTAGGGTGGAAGGCATCATAAGATAAGGCAACGAATAACCAAAAACATGTAAGAATTCTCAGTGGAAATATCTGAGATGCAACTAGCCAGAAGAGTCTTCCTTGATCACTGGGAGTATTCAGTAGAGAACGCAAAAAAGTCATACCTTAGTAGTGGGGCTAAATTACCATGAGTGAAAAGTATTGTACACCTGCAATGACAAAGGTTAAATACAAGTCTCAAAATGTGAAGCTGATCTGCAAGAACCGTAACTTGCCTGCCAGAAGAAGGACACACACACTTGAAAAGAAAACTGCGAAATCCAGATACTCAACAA